TTTTGTATTTATTTTTTATTTTTATATTTCCCTTATTTTACAAAATGTACAAAAATCTGGCTAACTCGCATCAGTAAAATTCCTCTTTATCATTTGCTGTTGGGGATACATGGTATGAATCATGTCTAGTGCTTCTTTTATCTGCTTTCAATAGCTGTTCTCCATCGATCATCTTGCATTTGCCATCTCGGAGTAAAAAAACAAAAGGAAAAAACTTCCCTCATTCTCCTTTTTTCAAAATATTAGGACAAGAAACTACTTTTTTTTTTTACTTGGCCTTATGTATTACATAAATAAATCTAAGAACTAAAATATTTATAATAAAACAGGTATGACATAAAATGTCATACCTGTTTAAATTTCATGAAGTTTTACAATCAAGTTACAAATTTCGTAGAACCTTAAAAGCTATGATAGGTCAGCAAATGAAAATAATGATTCATCTACTTGTTTAGGAGTTAGCACAGGAAAATGACTTGGAAATCATGAAAGTAGGCCATTTTAGGGACTGTTGGTACCGTGCGTTCTTTACCAAGACTTGACTCTTAGTAAAAAATAGAAAATGTTCCACTAATAAGTACCCACATAATGAGTTTTCAATCAGTAGTGATTGTAGGTACAATTTCTACAAGCCTAGTAGTAGTATAGGTTCAAGCCGTACTAAACCAGAATTTTAATTCCCTCTAATATTCAATTATTAAATAATTCCCATTAATTTAGAATTGTGGCTATAAATCCTACTAATTTAGAATTACAAATTCAATTTTCACTGAACTAGAATTAAATAATCTAATATCATTGATCTAGAATTAAAGCAATTCCCGCTATGTTAGAATCATAGGTTTATTTTCCATTAATCCAGGATTGTAGTAACAATTCTACTAATCCATGATTATAGGTTAAATCCCACTAATTCAGAATTACAGGTTCAACTACCACTAATCCAGAATTCAAGGCTCATTTTCTACTGATCCAGTATTATTGGTTTAATTCTCCTAATCCAGAATTACAAGTTTGATTCCCAATAATCCAAAATTAAAGGATTCAATTCTGACAACAAATAAGATGGAATTGCATGTTTAATCTGTACTAGGATCACTGAATTCAGACTGTGGGTTCTTTTTTCAATAATACTATAATTTGTATTACCATTCAAACAACTCACTGTCAAAGCCTCATAATGAAATTTGGTTTTGAGTCAATAAATGTCGTAAAAATATACTGACATTAGGTTGGCAGAATACTGATGTTGGGAATTCAGAAACTTGTACAAGCTAACAACTAAACAGTAATCAGAGTGTCTTGGGTTCAAATCCCAATGGGGACATTATGCTTTTTTCTAAAACCACCACTATAACATCTTTATCTATCCCTAATGGATATTAAATTTAATCTTTGATTTATGAGGTATGATACATTTTATATTTGGTTTTCCATAGACTGTTTCTTTTCATTCTATTTTCTAGGCTTTCAGTTATTGAAAGGTAATTGAAATAAATAGTAAAATTAATAAGTAATTAGCATAAGAAGACAGTTGAATAATTAAGGACTAACATAGACAGAGTAATGAATAATTAACTATTTTCAAAAAATGATTACTTGTAAGTCTGATGTTTAGCATTAGTTGTTTTCAAACTCATCCTTTAAACCTTGATTGGTCCTTGTTTTTCAATGCGATTACATTAACATTGATGAAGCATTGCTTATTAGAAAAGGTCATTAAAGTCTTTACCTCATTAGCATATTGATCTCATTAACATATTCATTACAGACAACCTTCTTTATTCTATTTTTAAATTTGCAAAAAAAATAAATTTAAGTAAAGTTTGACTCAGACGTTTTTTTTTGTTTACATGCTAAGAGTTATTCAAATGTTCAGATAGAATTGTTATACTTTGAGGTATTAGGCATAAAATAAATTAATAAGAGAAAAAAATAACAATATATACGGTACTAGAAATTATGACTCGTGTTAACAAAAATGTTCAAAATTTCTATAGTTGAAGGGGTAATAAATTAGTTATGTTCAGACGACCTTCCGTCTGAAGTAAAGTTATGACAAACGTAAAATTTTTCGCGCACGTTACTTCCGATGAGTGTCTACACGATGTTTACCCAGGACAACTAGTTCAAAGCTTAGGAGTAACTATGCAAATTTTCCGAAAGTGATAGTCACTTCATTTCATTTCATTTATTTGTCTCAAACAATTAGAATGTACATAAATAGAAACGGCAAGGAACAATCACAAAAGTACAAAAAACAGAGACAGGACACTCCAAAAGTAAAATCAATCACTGCAATACATACAATATAAAATTCTTCAGAAAGATAAAAAATCGAAAGATAAATATTGAAATATAGAAAAATGAGTAAAAATCAATAAATGAGCAAATTTAATTTAAAAGGTATTTGAGATATAAAAATATTCAGATAAGCATTAAAATTTATCTTAAAATATTCAATGTAAAAATGTCAAACAAATCATTTAAATTGCATTGCACTTAATATATATAAAACAAGATTAATTATAATTATTAAAAAGAATGAGGTTAAAAATTTAATTTAATAATTAAGAGTTAGAGTAATGTTTATTCAGATTGCTAAGAAAATATTTGTAACTAGTAATAAGGAGAGAATTTCGGAGGTCAGCAGGTAATGTCTCCCATAATCTAGGAAATGAATTAAAAATTGAGTATTTAAAAGTATTTGTCCTGGCAAAGGAATGAGAAAATTTAAGATTGTCAGTAAGAATGCCGCGCATTAAGTCACCACTTCGCTGTCTCTTAATGGTTATTTTGCACATAATTGTTTTGAAATAAAGTAAACAATTATGAAAGCATCACAGGAAATGTTATTTTGGCACTCATTTGTAGGTAATTATCTTAATAATAATTGAGGTCAAAATAAAGGTCCCATTTACTTGTATCACTTTACTTTACATCCACAGACTGGGAGGTTCATAGGGATAATCATTGGTGTCTCTCAAATAATGGAAGTTTTATAGTGATTCTCAGTGGTATCTCTCAAAGAATAGAAGGTTTACAAAAATTCTCATTGGTCTCTATCAAAGAATGGGAGGTTTATGGGATCCTAATTGGCAGCTCTCAGAAATGGAAGGCTTACAGGGATCCTCATTGATATGTTTTATAGGGATCCTCATTGGTGTCTCTCAGAGAATGGAAGGTTTACAGGGATACTCATTGGCATATATCAAAGAATGGGAGGTTTACAGGGATTGTGATTAGAAGGTTTTTGAGTCATAAAGAACAGGTTATCTCAGTTGGCTAAACTGATGGTAGCTACTGTTTGTGCCTGCGAGATCCTTCCATATTTTTGGTCCCTGTTCTGTTCCAATTCCATTGTTGCTCTCTTTGTCTTTCAGATGGAAAGTAGAAATGAAAGTCACAATTACAGCACACCATTTTTCAGATGAGGCATTTAAGCTGATATTTCTTTGTGCAATATTGCCCATATAGCATGCAGTAAATTAAAAAAAGAAAACAGAGTATTATCTCCTCACATACTGCCCAATTCACCACCAGAAGAACCCCACAGCCTGAAATAAGTCTTTGGACTTCATTGAGTTTATAGGGATTGTTATTTGCTGGTTTTAAACCATGTAACATTCACTACACCTCCGAGATTAATCCCGAACAGCGGTATTATTACGCTATCACAGTGTGGGAGGATTTCATTATTGGCAAACAGAATAAAATATACTCAACAATCTGCTTATCAACTGGGACAAAACTAATGATTGGGATCAGTTCTGAATTCTGAATGAACTCTGCAAATAATTTAGCTTGAAAGATTAATGATCTAGTCAATAGGAATAATGAATACTGACGTGACTAAATCATGATTAAAACATTTTATTTCTAGCACAAAAATTTGGCATTCAAATTTTCTCCTTAATAAAAAAAAACTCTATAATATATGTAACAAATTACATATGACAGGATTTGTGGCACAGATGGATGTAAGTTGGATTAAATGTATTATTACCTTAAAATTTCTTTAATTATTAGTTAATCTTAATGCTAAGCTGGCAATTCTTTTATTCAACTTTAATTTTGTAATTGTAAATGACAATAGAATGGTAAGTTCATATTCCATTTCATAATTTTAAGTATTGGTTTTTATTTTCATTTATTTATTCGACCTATGCACAATTTAAACATGTACAATACAACATATTTTGGTCAGGAGCAGCTTAAGCAAAATTTTACTATAACTCATTGAGAGTCAGCTGCCTCCAATGTAATAACAAAATCAAATTCAATTTCGAACCACTGCACAAAAATATGGTGAAAATGTTCACATGTCTTTATATTATTGATATATGTCAACGAACACAAAAGCCAGGCACGTAAATAAATGCGGATATTTAGTTCAGCTAATGGTTATCAAACAAGAAGAGTAAATAAGCTGTCTTTCCTAGCAGTCTCTCAAAGATTCTACAACAGTGTGCCTTTAAAAAGTCAATGGTGTACTGCCAATCAAAGTACTTAGCTTCTGAACTAACAACCTAACAAAAGGCAAAGTGTGAAAGCATAACCAATGTCTATGTTTTGATAGACACTGTTCATACTTGTGGAATATTCATTCATACTTTTTTTTTTAAATATATAGAAAAAGTTATGTTTAAACATGCTCCTTAGTGTTTTCTGTATGAGGAATACATATCCACGCACATCTATACAATTTATCCCATCCTCACCCACACTAACAAAACCACAACATATACACTCTAATCCCCACATATCTTAGAATCACAGATGGTACATGACTGTGCGAGAGTAAAGAAGAGATATGGTCAATAGGATACCTACACACACACACCCACGTTTAATATTATGCATACAATTTTCCTATCAAATTAAATCTAAAAAAAAGGTGCGGCTAAGTGAAATATTATCTCGTACAACACAGTCACATGATGGTGAATCATAAGATTATGATATTAATGAGTTGATAGAAGGTGCCCTTTGTCACCTACCTGCAAACGGGTCTTGTTCGTCTGGTTTTAGGATATCTGGATCACTGCTGTCGGTTGAATAAGATTCGTCGTATGACGTCCTCCTGTCGAAAGATGCCTCGCTTTCGGTCGTTAGCAGGGACACTGCGGAATCGAAGGTCTGTTCACGAGCACGGTAGACTTGCCTTGCGTTAATGCACACTCCTTCACAATCACAACTCTGAAAGCAAACAATGTTTGATATGTTAAAGTGAAACAAAACCTACTGCACCATCAGAATTTTATGGCTTTGTTCATAATAAGGAACAAGTTTCATTAGAAATCAATCCATTCTTAAACAAAAAAACTAAAGCAAATGCCAGACACCATTCTAGGGGAACCATCAAGATGTTAGGGCAATTGATAACTCGCAAAGCACAAAGAATTGTAAAAAAAAAAAAAAAAAAAAAAAAAATGGCATAGCTAAGATCCTATGGAAAACAAGGCACACATACCACTAGAAGCAATACCTGGTAATTTATCTACCAAGATGAAATTAAATTACAAAAATCATATTTTCACTTAAGGAATCGAACCCAAGACCTTACCAATTACCATTTGAATGCTCTACCAACTGAGTTTTGAGGATAAGCTCGTATAAACAAATCCAATCGGAAAATGGCTTTCTCTCTTGGCGCCCCCATTACAGGGACCTTGCTTGTATAGAGTACTCCCACGAATTTCCTCATTAGGACACATTTTTTTCTCACAGTATTGTATAATACGTAATGAATAATGAAAAATCACATGATGAAAATGAATTCCATGTCAATTGTTTTCAAGTAGTATTATGTTTGGAAAATTTAATTTTTTTATGTCTGTCAACAATAATTTTTTAAATATGCGAGGGTTGGGCCTGAAGCGGAACAGTCCATTGTTTATAATACATACAAGATCTCTGGATATTGTTCTTGTACAACATGTTACCTGAAACCCAGCTGTGTAAATGTGTAAACAGTCAATCATTCAACTTTTATTTCAGAATTCAAAATCTATATACATAAAATAATCCAAACCAGAAGACGAGGTAAAACATGTAAAATTAGTATATAGAAACGTAAGTACACAATCAAATCATCACATTCTGCCATTTACACATTCTTACAGCAATTTCCGTGACTATAATTTACATTGAAAACATTGCCAACATCTTGGCCTTGTCTAAACATCATATTTACATGTTTACTTTTGAATTTAGTAACCTAGGAAAGGAAGTTTTTGAAGCTGGTGACTCATTCTTCTACTTAAAAAATTACTACTATGGGATTAAAATATAGTATGAATTGTTGAAACTTGTGCATATACTTTACATTGAGGAAACCATTCTGGATACATACTTTTTTTTTTTTTTAACAGGGAACCACACTTCCTGGTAAAACCAAACATGCAACTCAGTGGTTGTTTTAAATTATAACTATTTGTAACCTTAATCTTTAGATTGTTCTACAGACTTCTATGTCACAAGATCATTCACAGAAATATTAGGCTATCATATTGTCTAACTTCTGTCTGTGCTGAGGGAATAAATCTTTTTATTATATCCTTGCATATAATAATTCAATGTTTTGAATGAAAGAGCTATTACTGTACCAGATTTTTACCATCTAGATGATATTTATCTTTAAATGAGTATCATACGGACAAATTTTTCATTCAAAAAATGAAATGTAATTTGACAAAAATTAACAGGAAAAGATAGCCAGATACTTCAAAAAGAACTTTGGATTTGTTAAGCTTCATTTTCTCTTTCTCTGTAATTATTTGAATGATTTCCAGGATCATCACGCTTAATTAAATGTCACAATGTCATTATATTTCACCTTGAATTGCTAATGAATCCATTTCTGTAAGCTGTCATAAGAGTGTGTGCTTTATTGAGATCAATATTTTATCAGGGCGACAGACAAGTGCAAATATAGCCACATTATCGTATGCATTTGGTCGAGTGCAGAAACAGATATAGGTACCTAGATCTACATAGCTAATATGGAGAAAGCGATATAGTGATTATGTGTACCGGTATATATATTATATAAATACATATATGACCTATTATATACATATGTGTACATTTATATATACACGATATATAAATATTTAAATAAATCTATATAATACATATATAGATAGGAGTAAAATTTACCTTTCAATATTATCATACTATATATACTAATTTATATAAACGTTTATTAAATGAAATGATATAAGCTTACATATTATATAGATTATAGTACTTACAGATAAATTACCATCAAGTAGATTACATAGAGTAGAGTTGTAAAGATTATAACATAGGTGCAAACATAAAAGCAATACAGTAATACACTATAAAATATTTACTATATAATACTTACTATGTAGTGTTTACTATATAATATTTACTATATAACATAGTACTTACACAGTCAAACGGTAGTCAACACATCTGCTATCTATTCAAAACACAGAAATACTACAGGGACCACTATACATGCAGACTAACACAGAGATGTGTAGTAGTAGCTCTCTCCAACTAGTGCACAGCAAAGTGATCATGTGACATCCAAACCAAACATAGACAGCTGCCGAAAATCAGATCAGGCTAGGAAGGCGTTGATCACCTCTGCCAACTACACATATTACCATCCGCTCTCTACAGCTAAAAATCCAATCGAATGAAATTTTGGGCCGAGATAAAATGGATACCTTTGTAAACACGTTTTGGCAGCGAGGCAACGAGCGATGAGTAACGATGCAGTTGAGTAAACGACGCTGAGTGAGTTCAAACCAGAAGTGGCAATTCAAAGTTGTTTCCTATTTATATCTATGGAAGCCCAAGGGAATCATGGATCAGCTTTTGACATTTTTACTCTGAATTTTAATATTAAAGTGTATTTATTACTTTATATTTTAATTGGAATATTGGATATCTTGTTAAATGTAGGCTTCTAATAATCTGTAATCTTCTAATAATATTTCATACAAATCTGACTGATGTATGCTTATAAAAAAATCTTTTATATAGTTTTATTATAATTTTTTATATAGTTCCTGTCACTAATTTTATTATATTTATATTTTATTTTTATTCCATTGCGTTGTTTTATTTTCTTTACAATATAATATAATACAATTTTTTTTAACTAAAAACAATCTACAAACTGACTAAATGTAATCTTGGTATTTGTGATATACTTAGTAAATCAAATTAGACAACATAAAATTCCTGAAGTTAACTGTATTCCCAAGCAGAGAGTTTTTTATAATTATTGAGCAAGCTTGTCGGATATAACGTTATAGACTATATTAATCGTTTATATTCACTTAAATACATTCAATTTCAAGGTCCACTTACAACTAAATCACTTTGACAAGATATAACTTTCATTTTGAGGCATACGAATGATTAATAGATCTACTGGAATGATCACTCAAGTTCTTGTCTAGCGAACAAAAAAAAAACACACAGAAAGTGATATTTTTTAGTATCTAAATTAAATGTATCTATAAATATTATGGTGATATTGTGCAATGTGTGTAATTCCTAAAATTATTAGAGATTGTTTCATTTTTCGTACTTATTTTATTTACGCTTAATGGAAAACTATCCATCACCTAATATAAGAGCGCCCTCTATTGATGGACCAAAAAATTTAATCTTTCAAGATTAATTGAACAGATTATGTAGTAATTTTAAGACTATTAGAGAGGTTATTTTATAAATTTGTTTAGAATATCTCCTTTTATTCATGCTTCACGGAAAACTACTAAATCTAGTATCTAAGAGCACTCTCTACAGATGTAGAGAGAAAGAATCTACAATCTTTAAGGATTCAATATAAATTGTGTAGTAATCCTAAAACTATTAGAAAGATCGTTTCATAAATTTGGCTTGAGTATTTTCTCATACTCCTGCTTTGTGGAAAGCTATCAAATAAATCCAACACCTAATATATGAGCACTCTTTATTGATGGATACAAAAAAAAAGTACAATATTTAAGACTTCTGTATAAATTGTACTATAATCCTAAAACTATAATAGAGAGATTGTTTAATGAATTTGGCCATAAGTGTTTTCTGATACTTATGTTTCATGACAATTTTTCACCTAAGAGCACCGTCTATGGCCAGAAAAAATAAAATCTAGGCGTACATCTTCAAGAATTTTGTTGTGAAAACATAACACACATGTTAAGTTGAATCAAATGTGTCCTAGCACAGAGAAGCCTTAGGCTGGGGGCCAAGCAAGCATTATACACTTGCTGTTGTAGAGTGCACACATGTCAACAGATAGTGTAAGGGCAAACCTGGCCTAGTGATACCTATAGGAGGATTTTGGATGTAAATATATTTATATAAAAAAAAAAAAGAACACAATTTATTTTTCATTTTAAAATCATTTACTATATTTCTTAATATATTAACTCTTATATGATTATTTTTAAGAGGATATATGAAACAGCCAGCTCATTTGATGAAGCCCAGAACTCTAAATACAAAACATAATTTAAAAAAAAAAAAAAAAAAAAAAAAACAATAAATGAATACCAAGGAAACCTACTAAGTAATAAAGATTAAAAATTACTTACAATTTAAATTTTCAGTTGTACCTCAGAGTCATACCTGTATTATATAATGCAACTCCCAACAATGAATCTAATAAAACCACTTCTTTTATCAAATTCGCAGTAATAACATGAAGTAAATTGCTGGTGAATTCACTACTCGGTTGGGAGCATGTGATATCAATTATTATAAATCAAATTGTAAACAACCACGTCGTAAAAAACGCCAAACTATAAACAAGGATTTAAAATGTATAAATGAAGCTGTTCAAAGGAAGCTTCATCTGTGCCGCAGTGTTTTTTAGCCTCTGGTTTATCAATCAGCCAAAAATGTGTGTCATTGTCAAACGCATGTTCAGATTGCTACCGGTACTAGGAAATAAAAGCAATTTTTTATTATGGTTGTAATGGCAATGCCACCTTTCTATTTGATGAGGTTTTTGTTATTGTCATTTGCATGGTCAATCCATTCTAGGGTGGTAGAAGAGAGAGTAAGAGAAATATATCAAGATATAATACTGGGGACTTATTTAGCTTGGTTTCCATACAATCGCTACACTGTCGCTACAGTTCTTACAGCAATCGTTGCACTGCGTAGCTGTCCCTGACACAATCGGGTACGCTCAATGTTTCAAC